CTGTCTTAGGAAGCTTTACAAATAGCTGAGGAAAGAAGGGAAGTGAAAGGCAAGGGAGAAAAGGAAAGATACACCCAATTGAATGCAGAATTCCAGAGAATAGCTAGAAGAGATAAGAATGCCTTTGTAAATGAACAGTACAAAGAAATAGAAGAAAACAATGGAATAGGGAGGACCAGAGATCTCTTCAAGAAAATTGGAGATATGAAGGGAACATTTCATGCAAAGATGGGCATGATAAACAACCAAAATGGCAGGGACCTAACAGAGGCAGAGGAGATTAAGAAGAGGTGGCAAGATTACACAGAGGAACTATGCAAGGAAGAGCTTAATGTCCCTGACTGATTGATTGATAACCCTTTTCACCACTTCATTTAAAAAAAAACCTTTGCAGATTAGAAGACTGCTCAGTTTCATTTTCATTCAACTTGTCATGCTTGTAATGTGAACTGGCTAACAGCTCTACCCAAGAAGGAAGAGTTAAGCAAGAATCAGGACAAAATGTTAGAATTGCCAGGTGTTTGCTTAGGGAGATGCTGGTACCCAAGGCCACAGATGACCAAAGAGGCTCTGGGAATGCAGAAGGGAGAGATACTGCAAATTATACCCAAGGACAGAGGAGTTGACACTCCCAGGGACAGAACAGGAGACTGGGGACAAAAAGGGCAAATTGTCCTCACCTGGGGCCCATCATGTGTCGCCACCACCTGAGCTCTCTGATCGATGGTAGGGAATAGAAGAAGAGAGTATGTAGGAGCTCAGGGTGCCTCTTTGGGGAGAGGTTTCACTCTTGCTGGTGGAGGACGCTGTGCTACACTGTGGCTTTGATTTCTATGACTTGCGTAGTATCTGTGTGCATAGCTAGACTAGTTGAAGCTTTATTATTCTGTGCCAACCAGGCCTGAGGGCTTTGACTGCTTGCAAAGTGTATTAGTGCTGCTGTCCAAATCCCCCTTTGCTTCCTTCTCCCCCACCATTGTGTGTATTTGGTGCCTTGCGCACTTTAGCTGTTTTCGTACCCTCCAGCCCTGTCGCTTAATCCTTTGTTGCTGGGCCAGGCAGATAGTATAGGTGAGCCCAGACCACCAACCAAAAGGAGCCTGAGACGAGACTTAGAGCAAAAACAGTTTTATTCTAGTGCACTTTAGAATCAACGGAGGTCTTACTTCCCAAATCAGAGTCTCGCAAGAGGTACAGAAAACATAAGTTATGGACCCTACGGCACATGTATGTTGACATTTGCATACCCTTAAGCACCCCCTTTTGTTATTTCTCTGAAGGAACCCTTTATTCTCCCAAGGACTTCCTTTCCCATATGTCCACTAACAGGGCTTTTTTTGGTCATAGAACGCACTGGAACGGCATTCCGGCACCTTTTTGTGACGGATTTTTCCAAGTGATTGTGAATCACCCTGTTGGGCAGATCAGCAGCAAAAAAATCATTAACATAGTGCCTGTGGGCTGCTTGTGTGTCCCCGCTGATTGTCAGTGCTGATTGTGAGGGCGCTGCTCAGCTTGGGATGCTGCTTGGCTTGGGATCGGTCGTGTGGTCGCGCGCTGAGTGCTTACTGCCGGCGGCAACCATTGTGTAAAAGTGTGACCCCAAGACGTGAGTTCCGGCACCTTTTTTTTTTTTTTTTACAAAAAAAGCACTGTCCACTAATAACCTTCCAAGCACTCACACCAATCTTATGTTTCTGCACCTATTGTAATTCATAATGCATTTTGCTACTTTTATTGAGATTCAAACTGGTTTCAGGCAGCAGCCAGGGGCTCCTGCCTTTTGCCTCCCTTTGAGACTCTGCTGACTTGTCCAGGAGTCCACACAAGATTCATCACTCTTTTTCCCTCCCCTCCTTCCTGGACAGGAACTGCAAAAGGACTGTGGTGGTTTTACTGTGTGGCCTTCCTTAGGCCAACTATTATTGGGGTGTTTTGGGGTGCTATAATCAGTAATGCTTAATAGATGCTTTGGCCCCCAATACTTGGGCTGACATGTGCTGAATTCAGTGTCTGGTGCAGGATTTAGGATTTTACAGTCCAGTTGGCCATGGGAGCCAGCACTCGTGGGCAGCTGTCCACTACGATGCCATTGAATTATTATGTTGCTTTTGAGAATTGCTTGGTTTGCTCTCCATTGTGGGTTTTTCCCCTAAAGATTTTTTCGAGCATCTACAAACCTTGGGGTTACTGACTCTGCTAATACTTCTCTCTAGTATATGAGTAGAGCATGTTTTTCCTCAAATGCCAAGGGAATAGGAAGGCCTAAATCAGTATGGGGCGTTATCAGTATTTGATTTTTTTGGGACTGAAGAACTGGTTCAAGTGAAATCCATTTGTCAGACCTTCAAATCAATGATGCCAGGTGTAATTGTAATTTACTTTTGTTCTTTAATTTTCTAAATGCTGTTTTTTTTCCTAATAAAATCATTTCAAATAAAGTTAATATAAGTATCCATGCATAATTTTCTTTTTTAACTCAAGTAACTTTCCAAATGTCTTGTTAATCTCTTCTCCAAATTAATTCAAGAATTTATTTTCAAGTGACTGAAAGCCTTCTATGAATGCTAGTTAGGTCCAGAAAGTCAGTGGTGAAGTAACCCCAGATCCAAGACCAGCCAGATTCAGGCAGGGCAAAGGGGACTTCATGGTATGTGTCCCCGCACCACCAATTTTGGAGGCATTCAGGTGGATGGGGGAGATCTGTGGCTTCATGGCCTCCATCAAGTCAGTTGTCCCACATCCATCTGTTGCCACAACAGGATGGACTTCAAAAGCCAACCTTCGCCTCCAACTGAAGACTTCGTTTTCTGCCCACAGAGACAGACATCTGCAGTGTCTCACATCTCTTGGGGCTCCCTCCAAGGAAACAAGGATTGGGCCCTGAATACTAAAGGCAAACTGAATGCACTGCTAGGCAGAAGTAATTTTTGATGGAACATGAGTTCAGGAAAACACAAAAATAAAATGTAAGGGTCATGGTGGATCAGTCCAAAGGTCCATCTAGTCCAGCATTCTGTTCACACGGTGGCCAGCCAGTTGTCCATGGAAGTTGACAAGTGGGACATGAGTCCTCTCACCCATGTTCCCCAGTGACTGGTGCCCATGAGCAGACCGACTTTGATGCCAGAAGTGGCACAGAGCCATCAGGATTTAATGTGTAAGAAAGACTGACTACCTCAGCGAGTGGATGGTGGGGAGGGGAAGAGTGATTGTTTTCGTGCAGAATTCATCACCCAGGGGTGATGGTGCTTTCTTCCTCCCAGATGTGAAATGCCCTGCAGAGCAGGAGAGAGAGAAGGTTCTGTGGTCCAATATTAATATTCCCACCTCAAATTAGCAAGAGAAAGAAATCGTTCTAATTGCTTGCACAGGGAACTGACTGCTGCATCTTGATTTCAGGGGCCCTTGAGGAAGAAGTCATCTTTGCTCATAAAAGGAAAAAAAAAACCCTCCAGTAAAAGCCACCTTACAGTCTGTCCAAATGGAGATAACCAGGAAAATAGACCAGGCTTCATGCAGGTAAGACGAGCTGCTTTGGATATGGACTATGCAGGTACTCCCATGGCTGTAAAATACAACTGCTCTGCCAGCTTGAGCTTGGCCAGTCCACACCTATTGCTATCGTGCCTGATTGGTTAAAGTCTTGAAGCCAGATGGGCTTCCATCCATTGCCACCTTTAGCTGAAGGGCCATTGCAAAATGCCACGTTCAGAGTTGGTTCCCTTTCCCACGTCTGCATGCAGCCACATATCTGTTCCCAATGAAATGCATCTTCACAGACACCCTATCGATTCAACGCCTCTAATACAAAAAGTGTCCTGCCAGTGACAATGGGCTTGGAGTGAAGGAAGAAAGCTTAGGTGTGAGTTTTGGGAAAGAGTCTGTGAAGTGCCTCCCCCGCAATGGCTTTGTAAAGTTTGAAAAAGGTGTCCTAAATAAACAGAAGCAGAGAAAAATATTCACTGCCTCTGGTGCGACTAGGTTGAATATAGTGGACAAGATGACCCTGTGGGAGAACCTTGACTGTGTGCGTACATGTTCTCAAGGCCAGCTGCACTAAGCGTCAGATAACACGGCCCACCTCAGACAGAGCTTTAGGGGTGCTATTAAGGGGCAACTAATTGTGGGATAAATGCTACTTTGCAGTCATTCTCATTCTTGGAAACAATGCCCGGTAGATTGTGCCCATCTGAACCCAGCAGCAGAAACATCCACAAACACCTTTACTTGATATTTTTGATGGGAGGAATTTCTTTTATGGCACAAACCTCTTACTGAGAAGTAAATCCTTGCAGGGGTTACTTGCAAGCAAGTATATAGAATTGCAGCCTCCGTGTAGTAAACGTCTCCCTGCACAGTCTTTTCCCACCTTCCCTTAACAGATGCTCCTCTTGGATGACCAACTGATCAGCAACTAGAGAAATCAGTATTAATTTTACGAATGAAAGAAATGCCATGTTGCAGCCATCCAATGGTCTGTCCAGCACAGCACTCCATTCATATGACAGCAAACAAGCAGAATCCCTCAAGCAGGATGGGGGCAAGAGGTCCCCTGCCCAAGCTCCTCAGCGACTGGTGCATGCAGGCAGGCCACCTTTGGTGAAGGAGGTAGCCCATGGCCAGCAAGGCTAGAAGCCATTAATAGTCTTCCAGCGTGCCCTTTTTCCAAGAACCAGAGTATTCCAGGAGCAATTAATTTCACCCCCACCACAATATTTTGTAAACAGGTCATAACCAAATAGAACATGAGGCAAACAAGTGAAAATAAAATAATCATCCAGTTTGCCACAAGGATGATTAAAATATTTCTGTGCCTAGTTGCCACTGCAATCCTTCCACCACAATGCATTTTTTGCTCTTGGGTGGGCCAGCAGACCTTTCCTGACAGCAGATGATACACATATTTGGCTCTCAGTTGCAGAGGAACAGTACACCGAATAGCGAGTCAGGTCCTGCACAATACTATTCCCACATACATAGAAGCAAAGAGACATAGTTTTCTGGCAGCTGCCACCACAGGTTGTGAGGACAGCTGCTGACAAAGGGAGCATAAACTCTCTGGATCTGAGATTTGGAAAAAGGCCTCAGACTTCTACAGCACTGTCTTTCGACAGGTGACTGGATTCACCGCAACCCTTTGGCTCTTGTAGATAAGGCAGCTTACAGGGTTTTCCCCTGCCTCCTATGCAAAGTGATACTCAGAGGATGTCCTCTGAATCATGAGGACAACACTGGGGGATGTGAGCATGCAATGAGTACCTTCTTGACTGAAGAGACTCTTACACTTGCCCTCAATGTTTCTGTCCGAATGGCGTCATTGGGTAAAAACCTTATTTTTAAAAAAATAAGACAAGGGCATGAAAAAAGCCTTACTGATGTAACCCAAAAGTTCATCTAGCACAGAAACCTCTCATGTCCCTTTCCATCTGCCTTCATGCAATGCATAATGATGCAGAGTAGTAATGGGCAACATTCATCATTCTCTGTTTTTGGAGACACCCCTAATAAAGCCCAATTCTCTGGTCATCTTAGCTGTTGCCCAGCGATGCTCCTCTCTGCAGGTTAGTGAGCTCAGGACTCCAACCTTTGCCACAAGTCTTTGAAAGAAAGCGAGAGAGAGAGAGAGAATCCGTGGATTCTGTTGTCAGGAAGATGTGCTCTGCATCAGTTTTTATCAAACACTCCAGTCCAAGTGCTTGCCCCGTTAATCCTCACTTTTTGATAACTTCGTGTGGAACATATTGCCTTGGCAGAATCCAGTAGTCCAACCTTGCCTTTCTGGGCAATAGTTTACAGGTGGCACTGCAGCTCTGCTTGATCCACAAGGTGTCCTGGGATCTCTTGTGATGAAACGGAGCACTCCATGTTGCACCATTTAGCACACTAAATCATTACATCGGTTATAGTAAGAAACAGGGGGTGCTTCTCTGAAAAGGGGGGAGGAAGCTTTGGATTCAGCATAAGGATAGTGCAGCCTTCTCTTGTGGCAAAAAGCAACATATTCATGCTTACTGTGTCAGCACTTGAGTTCAGGTGTTTTTGGTGCTGCTCTGAGTCACATGCCCATCACACCTGGAGGAAATTTTCTCTCGACCCCAAGTATACTTCCCAGTTAGAGAGCACACAATCTGTAGGGTGCATCCTCACATTTCTTGCTTACCCACAGAAATGTCTTTAGCTCTATAGCAATTTCTTTAGTATTAGGATACTAACAGGATTTCTGATCTGGGCATTGGCTGATTTCAATATCTACCTTGCTAAAGTTTCCTTCGTTTTCTTTTCATATTTCTATTGTATTGTAATTGTTGCTTTAGTTCATTTACAACATACCCTGTGATTTGACAATGAAAGATAGGATATAAATAGCTACAAATAAATACACCTTCAAGAGGAATAAGGGAAAATAAGAATATATAGATTGCTCTTCAGAAACTATGGATTTTTTTCCCCCTCATTGCTCCATGGGAATAATGCCAAAAGGGTGAAGGAATCTAGTTGTGTCAGTTCATGCTCCAGCTATCACTCCTCGTTCTTTTGTCCACATTTAGTGACAAATGGCATCTCCAGGATAGCTCACCCATGCTGATGCTTACACATTCCAGTTCTGCAGGTCCCTTATCGGGTCTTTCCCCTGCCCCAGAGAAACCGTGGGCATCCTCACCCCATGCCTGCCTTATTCGAGGGAGGCTTGCTCCTGGCCCCTGTGCTGGAAGAGGGAGACCCCCGACTTCCTTTTCCAGTGCAGTCAGTCTCCTCTGCTCCCCCACCCCCCTTGCCTGGGAGAAGTTTCAGAAGAATCTCGTTTTTCTGTTACCTGTCTGGTCGGGGCTCACCCCCAATCCTGCGGGGGAGGCGTGACGATCCCTATTGCTCAGCTTACTATTGAATAGGTTGGCTAAGTGGCGATGCTCGGCCTCCCTCAGCCTGGCCATCTGCTCCGCAATGCCTGCAGCAGGGCTCCTAGCCTTCCGCTTAAGCCTAGACTGGCAGCAACTTGCGAAAGGGAGACTTCTGTCTCTTGGATCTGGATAGGATGGGCCACTCCAAGCCAACCGTAATGAAGGGCGAGGGAAGTGATGGGGAGCTTATCCCCATACTTAGTTTGTTCTAAGCCGCCGGTCCTTCGGCCACGACCACCGAGGAGGAGTTCATCTGTATGGAGAGTCTACCTTAAATGCAAATGTTTGCCCAGATGACATTCATCCTTCCAACTTGCCGGTCTCCTCTGCCTGTAGAAGGCATGCAAAAGGCAGTCAGTACGACGAACTGGTCAGACCACGGAGCGAGGGCTGCGAAATCCCTGTCCAGCCATCACGCCCCTCAGGCCAGTCAGCGCCTCGTAGCCAATCCACAGTGCAGGGTCATTGTGCTGATAACATACTGGCGGGATCAAAACCATGCATGTTGCTTTGAGATGCCTGAAAGGAGGGGGAGCCTGGGCTTCTTCACATGAGGGGCTTAATCCCCTGCTTTACTGAGACTGCTGCTCCTATTTTCATCATGGGAGGGAAAATGTGTGCTTTACCAACCTTTTTCGGGGAGCTTGTATTTCTCTGCGTTTTCACATATTCTATTAACCAACCACAGCTCTGTGGTTTTTCGTGAGCCTTTTGTTCCAGTTGATCAGAATTTAAAGTTCAGTACTCGACTTCTCTACACCAAACACTGAATATGCACTTGGGATCTTTCACTCATGGAATTCGGCACGGCCTTTTCACAACACTGTTGTCCTCCAGAGCCGCACCCATGTTTTCCTGCCTTTTCTTGCCAGGGCTTTTTGAGAGCAAAGAACTCTAGTTCTTTAAAATTTAAATTGCAACATACTGAAAGAAAAGCCTCCCACGAAGTCACAAATCCACCACAGCAGATCTGTACTGCAGCGCCCCTAATGGATGGTTCTCAGCCTTTCTATGTAATGTAAGGCTGAGAAATATACAAACCTCTAGTCTAGGGAAAGAAGCCTTGTAAAGGACACATTGTTCCTCCCACAGGGAAAATGAAGACGCCTCAGAGAAGCAACAGGTCAAACCACTCATTTAGAGAAGCCCTGAGGGTTAGTCAGAGTAAGAATGGGGGGTTCCATTTTATATTTCTTTTTTTCCAAGAGGGATGTTTTCCATTCTCCCACTCTAGATGAATTGCTAGAACTCTTGTTCTAGCATTTCCTTCAGCTTATAGGAAAAAGCAGGCTACTGTTGGGTCGCCTCTAATGCTACACAAGCAGGTAGGGACTTCAGGAATGGGGACTCTGCTCGCATCCTCCCCACTGCAGCCACTTGCATTGCATGTTCCCCACATCCTTTTAAGGTAGATTTAGGAGGCAGGTGGAGAAAAGGAGGGATTTGATCCACTTGTGGTGCCTGTTCCAGTGGCAGAAGGTTGTAGGCTACAACCTGTGGCACAGGGATGGGGAACATGGGGTTTCTCCAGATGTTTTTGGACTGGTCTCCAGATGTTGTCTTCTTCTTCTTCATCATCATCATCATCTAGTTTACATACTGCTTTTCCCCAAAAGGGCCCTAAGTGGCAAGTAGCACAACAGCAATTCAACAAAAAAGCACACCACTTCATGAATGACTGCTGCACTGCACTGCACCCCAATTTGTTTCACTAATATTAACATTTCCTCTTAATTACAAAAAAGGTGAAATCAAGCCTCACATCACAATCTCAATTCTTATTTATCAAGTCATATGTAAACCAGAGCCAAATATTTAAAGGGAATGATCCAGAGAATGTTTCTCAGGGCTCACAGGCTATTTTGGACTCCCAACTCTAAGGTCGTAGCCAGTGCTCCAACCTTGAAGCCGGGACCCGGAGCTCTGTCGCTCTTCCCCTCACAGCCGGCACAGAAAGAATTGCACCAGCTCCTCTCCAGTGGCCTCAGAGAGGGGGGAGAGAGGCATCCTGCTGGGCAGGGCAGGGAGTGGAGGAGAACAGAGAGGTCAGGGTGTGAGTTGTTTGAGGCCATTACAGATTCCTTCCCTCTCCTTTGGAAATGCTGTTGCTAGAGAGGCAAAACAATGGATCGAACAAAACTGCAGGCTGGGAGGAGAGGCAGTGCACCCCAAACCTTTCCTGTGCATCGAGGCATTAATCAACAATACGCACTCCAAACAGCTACCCAGGGGTGCCAAGTGCAGCTGGTCTCTCCCCTGGTCTACCCTCTCCCGCTGGGCAGATCTCAGGGCTCCGTCAATCACTAAGGCGGGAGAGGTCAGTCTCTTGTGCTGGGTGTCTCCGCTGCTTCCCACCATCCCTCACCCTTGGCTGTGCTGGCTAGGGCCGATGGGAGCTGTAGTCCAGCAAGAGGACCACACATTCCCCATTCCTGCCATAAGCTGTGAGCTGCTGTTATAATTGCACGATGTTGCTGCAAGTTTGCCGCTTTTTGGCATTGCAGGATTCCTGTGACCAGATCGTAACTTCATCCATCTTTTTCATTCACACATGTGAAACATGCCTTAAGGACTGAACAGGTATTTATTAAGATGAGTATAAGCAATTTGTCTACCTTTTCAGTGCATGTATCTTCCCTGAACACAGCCTTCTGCAACCCAGCACCCTCTGGATATGGTGGCCTACAACCCCCACCATCCCCAACTAGCACCACCTTCTGCCGTGTTGGCTGGGGGAAATGGGAGATACAGTCTAAACATATCCAGGGAGCACCAGGTTGGGGAAGGCTGCCTTAACATATAATCTCAATGCAAATTGATGGCTGCATAATGTGCAAGTTTCCACCACAATTCCCTGATGCGCAGCTTCTCTGTCCACACTCCCAGGAAAAAAGAGGAAGATGCGTTCACGGGACCCTCCTGCACTCCAGGGAGCCTGGCTTTTTTCAGCCTGGCTCTCAATGCCCACAGCATGATCCACTGTATCAGATGCCCAGCAGGCACTGCTGGTCCATGAAACAATTGTGCACCAATCTGCAACTAACCCACGAGATCGGCATGATACATAGGCTGCTGTTGCAGCTGCTGTCAAGTCGCCAGCAGTGTTATTAGGCTGCAAGCAAAGGCAGGCTGGCAGGCAGGCAGTCCAAAAAGATGCCTCAAATTCAGATCTGTGGCCCACTCTCTGTTTCTCCAGAGGCCCTGCAGGAGTTAAGCAGCTGGCGGGTGCATCCACTGTGCTGGAAATGACGGGTTGATTTGGAATGCTGTAACTTGACTCATGCCTTTCCTGTTTCTTCTCCTTTCCCCCATTTCCCCCCTCTCAAATAGACTGTTTACAGAGGAACATTTTTGCATGTAGGTTTAGAAGAAACTTTCCCATTACAATGTTCCCCACATGCAAGAATGCCCCATTGCTAAGAAACCCTTCATGCTTTTGGGGTACTTCACCAGCTTTTGTGATGTTCTCAGTCTCCCGGTTTTGAGCAAGTCAGCCTGAAGTGCCTTCCTTGTTATTTCTTCCCAAGGCTCAGCTGGAGGGACAGTGTCCTTGGCAGAAACACCTCAAGCAGCTGGGCAGACTGGAGTGTGTCAGGACAGCAAGATTCCGTGACTCCTAGTAGTCTGCCGGAGTTCTTTTGGGGGGAAGCCCTCGAGATCAGTACTGCAAGGACGTTGCTAAATATTTCCCATCAGAGCTGCAACAGGCAGCATGGCAGAACAGTCCATGGAGGGTGAATCACATCCTTTGCCCTCCCAGCCTAGGACTGGTAGAGCAGCTGGTGTGGCAGAGGGCATTTTTCTCTCTTTTTCAAGGTTTTTTTCTTTTTGATCTTTCCCTCCCCATGGCTCCCAACAGGAGTAAAATAAGCTGTCAGCCCAGGTTGGCACAGATCCTGCCCCCCTCCAATTTCAGGCCCATGCCAGGGAAAAGGGACCCCCCCCCTCTTTATGCCATTGGAGTTTTGACAAGAGAGGAGCTACAGGGGAGAGACTCCTTTCCACGCAGGTTTTCCAGGGCAGAACTTCTCTCCCAGAAGAGCTCCCACTTTATACCATGTCTCCCTTGGGGAATCTCCAAGAGGCAATAGCATTGTCAAATAAGTCCCACTGAATTCCATGGTTTACTTCTCAGCAAACAGAATTTGGATGGCACCTTCCGCAAGGCTGCCTGCCCTGACACGGAATGGGAGAATCCCAGCATCATGCCCCGATGGTTCCTGCACAGGAGGCATCTAGCCCAGCGTTTTGCTTCTTTCGCCTTCTTTGAGGGGGAATTAGAACACCCGCCTGCCCACCCGCCCACGCCCCACGTTTCTCCCTGCCTTTCTGTATGCTCCTGCATGTCCCGTTGCACAACACAAGGGGGTGCTGCTGCGGCAAGGAGCAGCACAGCAGAATAGCAACATTACGGCAGCATCCCGGAAATACCTGACTTTCACTGCTCCAAAAAGGGCTGTGACAATGACTGGAAAAACTCAGGCGAGACCCGGGAGGATGGCTATACCATGAAAAGGCCCTGGAAATTTCCGTGAGTGAATGATCACATGTGTACATAAAAGGCCTCGGTGTCGGGTGAAAACCTTTTTATTTCCCCACTACTGTAATATCTAGTTGCTTTCAACTGGGGTTTTTATCTTGAGTTGCTGGATGCTGCATTTGTTTTGTTTATTTTATTTGTTCTTTATTGTAAGCCGTCCTGAGACACCAGTGGTGGACAGGGTAGAAAAGTTTTAAATAAATGAAAAAATAAATAAATAGAGAAGTCCATAGATGAAGCCTAGACATTCCAGCTGGTGGGGCTCACAATGTTCTTGTTGTTGTTCTTATTATAATCTTGTTTAGATTGCATCGTCATTGTTCATGGTTGATTACACAGTACAGACAGGTCCCCTGCCCCAAGGAGCATACAAGTTCACATCTCCCAGAGAAGAAACAACAGAAGAAGTGGAGAGACGTGAGGGCAGTAAACAGGGAAGCAAATCATAGTCATTTCAGCTGTGTGTGCTTAGGCTGAGTTGCTGTAAGGTATAGAAACCGAGGGGTTACGCCTTCCATGAAAAGGAAGGAGGGAAGGAAGGTTGCAGAAGAATTAAGGAGGCATGTGGGGGGCAATTTCGAGTAAGGAGGAAGGGGGCAGCCTACGGAGGAACACAGCCAGTGCCCATGATGTGAGGGTGGCATGGCGAGAAGCCCAACGGGGCAGCCTCCTTCTCTAAAAGCAGCACACAGAGGAACCGTACCAAACCTTTCAAGGCAGAAACGGGGGCAGTTCTGGTAGCCGGCAAAGGTGTACCAAATGAGCAAGCAGCATTTTCAACATATGCTCCAAATTGGCATATGACTTCACTATTGGTAAACCTAATATCCCCAATCCCTCTTCTCTGTATCAGCAGGTGATGCCCAGGGAGACTATGGAAACAGAAAGCAACCACACGCTGCTCACCGAATTCGTCTTGGTGGGTTTCACGAGAGACCCATTCCTGCAGACCATCTTCTTGGTGCTTTTCTTGGCCTCCTACACCCTAACCATGACTGGCAACCTGGGCCTCATGACACTGATCTGTCTAGATTCCCACCTGCACACACCCATGTACTTCTTTGTGGGCAACCTTTCCTTCCTGGATGTCTGGTACTCCACAGTCTATACTCCCCGGATCCTGTTTGACTGCATTTCCAGGGACAAGGCCATGTCCCTCGCGGGCTGTGCTGCCCAGTTCTTCTTCTCGGCCGGCTTGGCCTACAGCGAATGCTTCCTGCTGGCCGCCATGGCCTACGACCGTTATGTGGCCATCTGCAGCCCGCTCCTCTATGCCACAGCCATGCCCTGGAAGCTCTGCGTCCAGCTGGTCACTGGCTGTTACCTCATCGGCTTTGCTAATGCCGTCATACACACAGGCAACACCTTCCGCCTGCACTTCTGTGGGAGCAACGTGATCGACCACTTCTTCTGCGATGCACCCCCACTCGTGAAGATGGCCTGCGAGGATACCCGCGTCTACGAACTCCTTTTGGCTGCTGTCATTGGCTGCAACGTGCTGGCAACCACCATTCTCATCCTTGGCTCCTACGCCGGCATCGCAGCGGCCATCACGGGCATCCGCTCTGCCACAGGGCGCCGCAAGGCCCTCTCCACTTGCTCTGCCCATCTTGTCTCTGTGTCCCTCTTCTATGGCTCCATCCTCCTCATGTATTGCCGACCCAGCTCCCAGCGCACTCCAGCATGGGACAAGGCAAATGCTCTGTTCTACACCGTCGTCAACCCGTTGGTCAACCCTTTGATTTACAGCTTGCGCAACAAGGATGTGAAGTCAGCCTCCAGGAAAGTCTTGGGGAGGTTTATAGCACCCAAATGAAGAGCGGTGGGCTGTTGGCCTTGCCGCTTGATGCAGGTTACAGATATGAGAATGAAGCACTGCCCTCTAATGTCCTCCTTGATTACTCCAGCAGAAGAACTGGTGGAGAGCACTGGGAAAGCAAGGGTGCTTCCAGGCGAGGCTTTTCTCCACCATTTCCCCTGCTGCACCCAGAGAATTTTACACAACATCTAGACCACTTCTTCTGCTTGTAACTCAGTGGTGTTTCCCCACTGCTCCTTCAGTTAGCACAGAGAACCTGTTAAAACGAAAAGGCGGAATAGTTGCATGATTCCTTGTGACTATTTCACCACAGATACCATAGATACCTGCCTGGACCTTAAGACCTTCCCAAGCTCTCCTCTGGGTACCCACAGCAAGTGAAGAGAGGCAGATGGCTGCTAAGTGTCATGTGTGCGCACGCGGATGAGATTCCCACATGCGCACCAGAGAGTGAAGGCTCTGGTGAGAGCCAGCGCTCCAGATTAGAAGAATGGGTGTTAATTATTATTCCAGCACCAGAACAGAGCTCTCACCCTAATTCTCCAGATGTTGTGGCTGGAGCTGTGGCAGGTGGTGAGCCACCCCCGGGGGGCAGGCTGAGGCAGCACAGGATCAGAACACCTCGGGGACAGGCACCGGGCTGGACACTACTCTTAATGGTGAGAATGGAGCTTATAGAGAACAGGCTACGGAGGCTCCACAGATTATTTGGGAGGCTCGGTCATGCAGCTACACATGTCGGCTGGGGCAACTGGAGACGCGATTCACGGAGCGGCGGCAAGCATGCATCTGAAACACACCGCCCTCCAGGGTCCATTAGCAAAGTGTGGGGTGACCTTAGTCAGGGCAAGAGGTCAACTTCCTACCTTGAGGGCACTGTCTGTGTTGTGAAAATAATTTTGTAGCCGTTTGGAATAAAGACTCTTTTAGCAATTGCTACAAGGAGTGATTGCCTTTGTTGGGAAGGGGTGCCTGGCTCATGACACTAAGGAGGTGGACGTTTCAGCTGTGGCTCCTCCATTGTAGCAGAAGCATCGTGGTCTTTCTGGAGCCAGACAAAGAGCTTTGTATTCATTTTAGTTCTTTGGTGTTTGTTGTTTTGAAACTGGGGTTGTGCTTTCAGATCTTTATACTGCTGCTGGTTCTTATTCATTTATTATATTTAAATATCCCACAGCTTATCCAACCTGTGAGGCTCCTTAGGTGAGAGTAAATGGCTGGCACAAGGTCACTCAGCGAGCTGCACAGCCAAGTGGGGACTAGAACCCAGGCCTCTTATCTCCCAGCCCAGAACTCTTAACCACTGCACCGCACAGACTCTTTTGGCTTCGTTTTTTATACTGTAGCTTTACACTTTTAAAAGTTCCAGATTCTTTATGGTTTTAACTGTTGCGAACTGCCCAAAGAATTTAAGCTGTTGAGCAGCATAGAAATAAAGTCTATCAGCTCACAGCACTGCTGGGACTTCTCCCTCTGGAAACAGCCCAGCCTGATGAGCCCAGATGAGCCGCCAGCCACTGCGCGCAGCTGTTCAATGCATGCATCCGTTAGCAGTTTCTCTCCTGTCCCCTGGCCGCCTTCTTCCCAGCGCCGTGGCACATAAGGGAAGAAATAGCAGGAGAGAAAGAAGTGGACAAAATCGTAAGGACACCACTGCGACCCCATCAGGAGTCCCACATAAAGGCTGGGCCCAAGGAAAGTTTGACACTCATGGTCTTTTCCTCCTGCTACAGGGATGAGAGAAGCCACACACACTTGGACAAGGCCCCTTTGATGCAGCTCTTAGGACTTCTCTGCTTGTGGCATTTATGGTGTACTTGTGAGCCAAACTTATGGAAGTTTGCGAGTCCTTTTTGTGACATCCCCACCACGTCTGTGTTTTTGAGCCATTTTGCAGCTTTTTTAAAAGAATGGGGAGCTGTGCTTTTGGAAAACACCACTTATTTTCTACAGGAGCTTAGCTTAATTTTACAGTTCTGCCTCATGCCACAGCGTCACCTTGTGCATGTGATGAAACATGCAGAAAGCAAAACCCCTGAGGAGTGGGGGGATTCTCACACAAGGGTGCCCAAATCCCTCCAGAAAGAGAACAGGGGGAGGCCTCTGTGAAGTGCTGGGTTACGTGCCTTATGTAGAGAAGCCCATAAGGTTACAGAGATCTGCTTCTGGTTAGGACCAGAAACCCCAAGTACAAGCATACTCCAGGTTTGCGACTCTCTTCTGTAGAGGGAACATTCTCCCTGCACATGTGAGGGAGAGCCACTGCATCGCTCTTTCCTCTGGTCCTTCAAAAGGCCAAGTGAGCTGGGACACAGGAAACCCACCAATATTCTATTGACCATTTTAAAATGCAAATGCCATAATGGGGGCTGTGAATCCAGGGGAAACAGAGGTGGGGGTGCTTAATCCTTTTTCCACAGGCATTTTACTAGTCAGCCTTAAATACAATAAAATAGAGCAAATGACTCCTTATTAGAAAGGCATAATGATGTTCATTATGGTATTATGAGGTGCTATCGTATTTTTCATCAGAAAAAATGGTGCAGAAGGGCTGAAACGTGGGAGCAGGGTTCAGAAGGGGGGTGTGAACATGTGCTCAGGTGAACAGAAGAATGGGAAGGAAACCGTTCCCTTCTGTTCCCTTCATTGCAATAAAGTTTTAAAAAGAAGTCTCTGCATGCCTGGAATATTTTTCTCTTCTGACGGAAAGGAAAGAGTGTTCATAACAATTCCACGTGCCTTTACTCCAACTCTTGCAGCAGGGGGGCAGGAGCCATGCGAACAAGGAAATTTCCATGCTCTCTTCCCACCTTCTGAACCTCCTCTCTAAACATCCATGGCATTGCCCTTAACCAGCAGCCCCACTGCTAGAGAGCGAGCAGTCAACCCAAATGTGATGCTTCACGAGATTTGCAGCCTTAGGAGTGGGGGCTGCAAAATTAGCCCGTCGTGCGTGCTCCGTGCTGCCTCGCCTCCTTCCACTGACGCCCTGTAGGCATAAGCAGGCCCACCAGTGCAGCCGTGTCCCAGCATCTCTTTGTACAGCACGAACAGACTTCCCCAATCACTGACTGCTCAGAAACTCCCATCCTCCCCACCTTGTGGCTCGTTCCATCACCCCACCCCCACCGGGTCACAGTTTTCCATTCCTCAGAAAGGAAGTGCTGAGAAATGCTACCGGGTGGGTTTTGTTGGTTTCTTTGATCCACTTTAACCCCCTTTTGCATGGTGCGGTTCTGCAAGGCCTGGCTGGAACTGAGGAGCTCATCATCGCTTGGAAAGCAACCCTCCTGCCATTTGGAAGTTGCAAGAGAAAGCAGACTGCCCATCATGGGCAATGCATCAGAATGAAGAGCCCTCGAGAGCAGCAGGAAGCACAGAATGCTCCACAAGGCAGAACGTGGAAAGCAGATTTGACCTGGGGCACAAGAAAGCCACAAAGCAAACACAAGTTGGCCATTGTAGGGGAAATTTGGATAAATCCTGTCAGAAAAACATTGCTTCGGTGTGCTTTTGCATTGTGGAATCAATCCTGTACTCCTTCTCAAACCAAACTAAGTCACTTTTTAAAATGGCATTCCTCCCCAGCTCCTTTCTCTCACCTTTAGCTGTAAGCTACAGTAGACAGGCCATTTAGTCCAAATATACATTATATACCTTCACAATTATTAAATAATTCTCGTTGGAATTCACAGTTTACCAGGAAATATCTTTTGCTAGCCCAGAGGGCTTCATGTGCGCTGGCCATTCAGAATGGTGCGGATGCATTACTTAGGGTCTGAGTCTGGATGAGCTTATGAGCTCTTGAATAGTTTCTCAGTAGCTTGAATTTACATGTCTAAGCAGACCTGGAGATGGGTTCAAGTTACTCAACTAAAGTGTCAATACACTGCAATTAGAAATATTGTGATCTCATTGTCACTGTATGATTGACTGACATTCCTTTATCTGTTCTGTATATGATGACCTCAGAATCTTATTGTAATGTCTGCATTCTGTCATTAATTGCTCTGTACCTGTGTATGTGACCAGCAGGGTATGAAATACCCTGTAGTTGTATTGAAACTTTGCAGCAAGTTTATCTCTGCCTGCCCGGTAATGCATCATCGTGAGTCTACCGCGGGAACCTGGGCCAAACGATAAAGCCACAGATGGTCTGGATGCTTTATCTTTCCCATGAACCCGAGTTTTATTTCCTCCTCACGAATTGGAGTTCTGGGATTTTCTGAAACCATCTTCTTAGAAACTGGTTTATTTCCTCATGTCACTTGTAAGAAATAAGGAGGAAAAGACATGTTGTGTGTAACCACTTAATTAAACCCTCACTTCCCTCACATGGGCTGTATTTCTTTCAAATTTAGGGAGAAGGAACCTGGAAGCCTCCAAATGTTGTTGGACTGCAACTCCCAGTAGCTCCAGCCAGCATGCCAATGGTCAGGAACACGGGGAGTTGGTCCTCTGGCAGGTTACGGGCTTCCTCCCCTCGATCTGCATGTATCTCCTGCTACATGTGTCTTCCTCCCCTACAAGTGTCTCCCCCCATCAGATGCTTGTTCACCAGGATGGGCAAGTTGTAGCCTTCTGTGTGTTTTAGCCTACAACTCTCACACCCCTTACTAGTGGGCATGCTGGCTAGGGCAGATGGATGGGAGTAATAGGCCACAACACTGGGAAGGCCACAACTTCCCCACCCTGTCCCAGATGGAGGATGCCCAGCCCAGCACTCAAAAGGCATGGTCTGGTTATTCCTTATTTCTTGTTAGAAAAGAACTGGAAAAGGTGGTAGGAAAACTTAGGCACACTATAAACTGATGACACCGAAAACCCTCACAAACCCCCATAAAATCCTGCTTTTTATTCACAGTGAAAAACTCTTTGGAAGCTCCAGGAACTTCCATGCATGAAGCAAACATCTCATATTCTTCATACAGGAGTAAAGAATCTGGAGCTGCCATTTTTCTTTTTGGAAAATACAATTCCCCCCCCCCCCCGCCACA